GAACGAGTGAGTCTAATGCTTTATCTGTCACTGAAGAGGGTTTGATTCTAAACCGACGGCTCACAACTTTACTCCCTTCATTTTATCCCTTGTGTACAAATTTGGTCGACTATCTAAAGTTCACGGCTTTTTTCGGTAGTTAACGCGTCTATGTCGAGTTTTTCTATCTAAATTAGCTTTTGCATTAAATTTTTCTATAGTTAAACGCCAATGCTTCGTTGGTTTTCTTTTAAAAGTTCAAAAGTGAATGTGCTGATCATCTATAGCTAACTCAATCTGATTTTGTGAATGATTATTTTGAGAGTACCCTGAATATCTGGTGGTTTTTATTCTAAATGCAGAGCGCCCCATTTACGCTTCAGGTTCTGGATAGACTTTAAGAAAATGTGTTTTATGCCCTTTTCTATGAAGAAGTTAGATTTTAAATGAATCTTAAAGCCTGAATATAGGTCAGATCTGAAAATTTTACGGATGTGGTGGGTTGCAAAGAAACTAGAGCAAAAATTGAAGTTTCTGCGCATCTGTAGTTCATGTTAACATTACGACGGATATTTTGAAAAACTTACTCTAGCCACCAGTATGAACACAGATTTTTTTTCATCTGATATTGAGCCACTGTTATTTTGCTGTTGGTTTTAGTTTGCTGATTTTAAATCAGGTAAAAATTTTGAGGAATCAAAAAATAAAAATTGTTTTAGATTCTTGCTATAACTTGTACATTGGATACAGACTGCTTTAGATACTATGTCCCTGTGGATTCCTGGGCAACAGATATAATGCGCGGCGACTAAATTGGCTTCTTGACCGAGATGAGAGCTACTTTAGGTAAAATGCATTGCTCGTTGAAATCTTTCAGTGATTGCTATAGCTTTGTCAATTACAAAACATCCAAAAATTACTGTAAAAGAAATCAAAAAAATATTGGTCTTTGAATCGTCTCGGCAAAATTTTTGGTAATCTTCTCTGTCTACTGCTTGTTGCATAAGCTTCAAAATTGGATCTTTCGAGGTCAGTTCTGCGTCTACAATTCCCGCCAATCGGTGCAGAAGTTTCTGTCATCTAAAATGACAGATTTTTGTCTCCTTGAGATTTTCAGCACTGATCAGCGTTTCGCATGAAGTTGTGCATGGTATATGCCGCGTGAAATCTCTTGAGAACTGTGTAGGATTGGAACAAAATTGTTAAGGAGGATTAGGGATTTCTTTTTTCTTTTCGTTTAGACAGAATTTTTAAATTTGGCTAAATGTTTTTTGTGTCGCAGCTTTGAGGAATTTTTCGATTGTTGACACTGAAAATTATTCGTCATAAATGGACAACTAGACTGTCTCACTTGAAGGGTTTTGCAGTAAGAAGTCAGCATTACTCCGTTTGGAACCCGCGATATGATTTAAATAAAAGAGCCAAAAGATAAAAGTCGTCGCATCTAACAGAGAAATTGGTAAGTTTTGTTTGTACGATTGGTTTTGAGTCAATAAGATGGCTTTTTGTTTGAATAGAAACTCGAAATAATTTACCGTTAGAATATATCTGAAACTTCCGCAGACCATACCACTATTGCTAAAAATTTGATTCCGATAGAGCTCTTTTTGATTTTCTGTTTATTTAAAAACCTTAAAGCGAAATATATTGAAACCATGAAGATCTGTATTTTATTTATTTCACAAGAGCGGCCTCGAAACTAATGTGGCTAGCTTTTGATTTACAAAAAACTCTTGATTTTTAAGTGTGATATTGTTACATTTTTTTTACCGTCATACGATATACCGATTGTAATTTCATTGTTTCCGGAGTCTCTCAATGTTGTTCGAAACCCAAGATGAACTTTACTTTTTTTTCATATTTTAAGGAGTGGCCATAATGGTCGTTTCTGCAAGTGGTTTTTTTCCAGTTCATTTGTACTTTTTTGATTTCTTGCGCACTTAAAAATTTCGAAGCAAAAAAAAACATTGGTGCCCAAGATTTGTCTCTGAGTTCTTATGGCCAGTTATTTATTCTTTATAAGTTTCTTGATTTTCTTTAAGGGTCGTAGTGTTTCATTTTGGTAAAACCGGATGTTAATTTCATTGTATCCTCAATTGTTGACTGTTTTTCGGGACCCAGTATGATTTTTAAATTTGTTTTCAGACTTCAGGGATGGGCCAAACTTGTCAGTCTATCTCTGACGTTTGCTTTCTGAATTTGGTTTAATAATCCAATGAAATTCCTAATTTGTTTTGATTTCCTGGTGGCTTTGGTCAGTTTATTTCTGATTGGCAAAGTTGCTCAATATATCTCTGAAGCTTTGGGAGGTTTCTGCGTACTTTTTAATGCTCCCATCTCGAAGGGCTTGAAATCTTTTGGTGTTCTGGGTAATTTAGGTCAAAATTGGCATGGACTTTAGAAACTTCGAATTTCATGTCAAATTTGGTAATATCGAAGCCTAGGAAAGGTATTTTTTCACTTAAGACTCATTTTCCTATAAAGGAAGAGCAACGCACTTCTAATCGCGGTTGACAAAAATGAAATCTACCGTCGAGTTGCAATCTGATAAAGATCTTTTTGATAAGACAAGCATGACGTCTAGAAAACATAATACGACTCGAAAGTTCTAAATTCTATTCCCCATTTGCTTTTTTGAAAACTTTCAGGCATATCAGTGATGCAATTTGATCAGATTAAGAACGATAACTTACATTGAATTCACCTAATACTATGTTAAAATTGCAGTAAATGCTCACAAGATCTTGAGTGAAAACAATGAAATTGACCAAAACATTTTTATGATCTGAAGATATGAATCAAAACTTTTGGTTTCTCTGAATTGATAGTTTGACTGCCATATTCGATATTTCTAAAACGTTGGTCATTTGATAGTTATTGGTAAAATTTTCTTGGTTTGGCGTTTCAAGCTAGTCTCACAGCGCAGGTTTCTTTGCTGTGATTAAGACCGGAGCTAGAAAAAGATCGCTTTCTCATAATTTTACTTTGAAAATGGGGTCTTAATCAGTTTTGGGATTTTTTCTCACCTCAAGCTGGAAATGAGTAGCTACACGTCGATTTTTTTTTAAATTGGGATGAGAGGGTTCTTGAAAACCGAATGAACTCTATGGTTTTCAGATCTGCTTAGACGGGAAAATAGTTGGCTGCAATTATGAGTGACGGCATCTCTCCAGAATTTATAATCGTTGGGTTCCGAGTCGTTTGAGGTTTTCGATATTGGTTGTGGTCGTGTTTAAATTGTTTAGACTCTAAATAAAGGTTGAAGGTCCAATCTGAGAAGGCACCTAGTTCGGTTTTCTGGGACCAGGAATTTTTCTTTTTTACTGACCAACCTAGCGAAAAAACAAATTTGAGCGTTCCATGGAGAAGAACAGGTTAGCACTTTTACTGCCAACATCAGTTTGGGACTTTGTTCTTTTAAGTAAGATAGCATCTGTCAAAGGTCTATGATGAATACTTTCTCAATCGCGACTGCCCATCCACACAGGGTTGCTTGGCCCCATAAGCGTATGAACGACCTTTCGAACTGTCTTTTTCGGATTGAGCGGCATTGTACAGCTGCATTTGTTTGATTATATGGTTCTTTTCCCCTTAAAAAGTTTTTCTTTCACAGTGCTCATAAAAGGTATGGAATTCAATAATAGCCTGTTCCACATGAACATACCCACTGAAAAATGACTTTTTTTCCTTCATACTCTAACACAAAGAATAGGCAAGATTGGATTCTTTGGTCAGCTTCAATAAATAACACGTTGGGATCAATTTCGGGCCTTTTCTTGTGTCTCTCAGCGCACTGTTTCGGCTTGATTTTTTTTTTCAATTTTCAATTTTTTTTCAGGTATCTGTGGCCGATTCAAAATTGCTCGGTCTTTCTGGCTTAGAGGGAGGGCCATTGAACATTTCAGTTGGAGGTTTCAGAAGGTCGTTGAGGTCGCAATGTTCCCTCAAGAAGATTGCTAGAAAATACTGAAATCCAGGTTTTCCAAAATAGTGGTGGGTCAGGCGTCGGTTTTGGTCAATATACAAAAACTCTCAGTAGGTCTGACTTCTCGCCGAGAAGTTGTTGAAAGAATTGAATTATCTTCCGATAAGTAAAATTAAGACTCAACAACAATGCTCGTAAGTTTCAAGGTACAAAAGAGAGTGGTAGCAATTCACACATTCGAACGTCAAGCTCTAATCGCGACCTCGACAAGATACCATCAAGATATCAGTTCGGCACATGACACATTCAGGTCTAACTAATTACAGCTAAGTCTAAACACGGTACGCTCTATCGTACCACAATGTTATAAAAGCAAATAAAAGCTGAGAACTTGTATGTTTTAATACAAACTTTATTTGCTCTTCTGAAGAAGAATATAAATAGTTTTCGGGTAACTTTTAAATTGAGAGATTTTGAATTTTTTTATAGTTATCATTCGGTTTGCAAATCCGTTAACGCTTTATTGCACTTTTGTTTTTCCTACTGATGAATTTGACTCTTTTTGCAATTTTTTCTCAAAAAAACTAGCCATTATTTTCCATGAAAATAAACTAGCGCGTTTCCAGTTTCCCACCCCCAATTAAATTTACGAAAAAAAAGCTGTTCAAAATTGTTCACTCAGCATTTTGCATGTAAAAAATGGAAAATTTGTCCCCGAGTGGCTTGCAGAAAAATTTGTAACATTAAACCAATGATTAATATAAATTCAAATTCAATCCTTGACTCCGGAATTAAAAGGTCTTCACGCGGAATTGAAATTAGAAAATAACGTAGAATCTTTTGTTAAATCTTTTTGATGTTATTTCTGCAGTTTTATGGGTCTTGTAGCCGTTTTTTGGTCGAACAAATGGGATTACAACTTAATGACCCCCCCTGGCCACGAAAAAGATGAGGATTGTATTTAATTCTATTTCTTAGCCTCCAAATCTTTTACTAAATTGTTAAAACTATAGCGAAAATTGAATGCTCGTAGATTAAATACATGAAACTAAATAGAGAAAAAATCTTTTAGAAACAAAAGTTAATCTAAACTCACGGTTGACTGAAATGATTTTCATTTGCATCCGGTAACAAGGGGCTCTTACCAGTAATCGACATCGACTTTGAATACCTTTGAAATGTAACATTATTCGGCATCTACTGCTTGAAGAATAATTGGTAGATCAGAAACTATATTTCGTCGAAAACCTAAATCTTTTCATTGAAAGTAGATCGGCAAGTTAAAAGCAATAATGAATCTAACTTTTGATCAATTATAAACTAGAATTTACCATAATTAACAAAAAAAGGTTTGCAATGAAAACAACTTGGAAAAAATTCAGCAGTACTCGTCAGCCTTGTAGAAGCACCGTTTTTTCACTACTTTCAATTTTAGATTGTAAGCCGAAGATTGCCCTCTAAGTAGTCTTCGTTGTTTTTGTCTAGAATGGTAGAGTTGAAATCAATCTCAAGCATAAAAAAGTGATCATGTTGGGTTTCGAGCAACTGAATTAATGACTAGACTGAGCCAAAAGCCACTTGACCACCCAACCCTAAGCTAATAGCTACCAAGACGCTCATTATATCGATGATCACAACCACAAAAAAAACTAACTTTAATCATGCTATTTGACTCCTCCCAGCTCAGAAGGGTCCCAAGCACTGGCACTTTGAAAAAGACACAGCGAAGCTCGTCTGTTAGTCAGAACCGCCGTTTTTTATCCTAGTCATTTTGGCTTCTCGCCTAAGACATTATTGCCTCATAAACCTCCCCGAGTCGAGATTTTTCACCTAATTTGAAGCAAGATTTGAGCGGTTTGAGCGGTTTTTTTAGACAATTACACTCAAAATCTTGTTTCAAAATGAGCGGTTTTAGCGGTTTTTGAACGGTTTATCTAAAAAAACCGCTCAAACCGCCCAAACCGCTCAAATCTTGCTGAAAAAGAGCTCAAACCACTCATATCTTGAGCGGTTTTTGAGCGGGATCTCGACCCGGGTCGAAAAGTCATGAAAAAAAAACAAACTGCTCGTCTTATGTCAAAACCTTGCATGTTAATACTGCACTTAAACGTCTATAAAAAGTCTTGATTTAAAAAAAAATTGAATAAGCTTTCAAAAAAAGGGAAAAAATCAAGGTTTTTTTTTCTGGCATACACCATGAACACCACAGAAAATGTTTGGCATTTAGTACTGTAGCGAAATTACCAAAAGATAGCCTCATATCAGTTTTTCAAACCCTATAACTTTAGACAAAGCGATAGCACGTGGAAAATCCTTTTAAAGTTAAGCTCAGAGCATCAATTTATTCCGCAGACTAAATTTGCAAAAAACTGCTAGCCAAGAAGTTTAACTTTGCCCGAAAAATTTTTCAATGGAGCACAATATTCCGTCACTTCCTTCGAAAAACGAAAATGCATCAATCAATTTTGCTTCGAGAAGTCTTCCACGACAAGCAAGTTTACGTAGTAGGTGAATCAGCGCTGATGTAAATCATCCCGTCATAGCTGGAAAATGAAACGCGGTTCTCCCGTTTTGCGTTAATAGTGTAGCAAAAGTAAACAAGACTGCTCGTATCAGGGCGAAACGTTGAATGCTCCGACTGCTTTTTAAGGTCTATGGAGCAATAATAACATTTAAAAAAATTTGTAATGAAAAAAATTAAATTTTTTTTTAAATTTTTTTTTGTGAAAATCATCTACTCACAGGCCATATAACATTCAAAGTAATAAATTTCGCTTCTAGTAACAAATCGATTATGGCAAATAAGCTTCCTTCAACCAATTTGGAGCAATTTCTAAGACTGCCATTACAGGTCTATGGAGCAGTAATAACATGAAAAAAAACAAATAATAGAAAATACAGGCAAGTTTTTCAAATGATTTTTTTTTGTGAAAATCATCCTCTCACACGCCATATAAAGTACAAAGTGATAGATTTTGCACCTAGTACTAATCAATTATGCAAATAATTTTCTTTCAACCATTTCGAAACGATTTCTAAGACAGATTAAATCTCCGCTCACGCGTTAATAGCGCGAATTAAACCGCGCGTTTATTGTCCCTAATTGGCCAAAATGGCAATCTTTATACTTCCATAATTTTACAACACTATCACAGGTGAAATATGTTTTCAATTTTAAGCTGAGAAAAACAACACCTTTTGAATGAAATAAAAATTTCTGTCAAGTTTTTTTTTTTAAAAAACTACCCCGAGCACAAATATTCCGTTACTTTCGTAAAGAAAGTCGGAACAATAAAACAAAAACTTCTTAGAGTTTTACTGATTTAGTTTTGGCGCCAAAAATCGAACTCAAGGTTCCAGCTCAAATATTATAGCTCGTCATTTTTGGCTTCTTTTAGCCTATCAGAAATCACTCTAAAAGAACCGGATAAATTACTGGCACAATTAAGAAAGATATAATCTCTAAAAATATCGAAAAAAAAATATGGAAAACTTTTTTCAAACCAAAAAATTGATGAAGACCTGAGTCAAAGTTTTAAAAAATAAGGCCAATAACTAGTTCAGAAAAGTAATAATAGTGTGCTAGAAAGGAACCAGCAGAGAGCAGTTGCGGTGCTTTGAGTTTTTACGCAATGCTGTTGGTAAATTTGTAAGGAAATTTATCCACTTTTTGAAGCTGGGCGACAAGTAATCTTCATGCAGCTGGATTCAAAAACCAAATTTGCAATTGAAAAAGATTGAAACAAAAGCCATCTCTAGCTAAATTAAATATATCCATATCTATCCATATCATAAACAAATAGGCGCAGATGACATCAAAAAGTCAGAGCAATCGAAAAAATATATACATTTACGTTATGAACAGGATAGAAGCAGCACAAAAGAAGGATAAAACCGACGAATAACTGTTTGGTCTACTCAATTTTTTCAATAACTGAAGTTGAAAGCACCTACAAGCATTAGATATTTTTAAAGATGACGTAAGAACTCTTCAAGAGCGGTAAAATTGTGTAATCGAAATATTCGCAATTTCGCCTTCAAAACTGATTTTCTACTCCCTCTATTTCTGCAATTCAACAAACTTGAATTTTTGTTCCCACTATTGTCGAAGAAAATCACGGATAGTTTGTGCTCGGGGTGGTTTTTATTCTATAGAAAATTATTAACTATTCAAACATAGCAAGTTTTGACAGACTTTTGTAATATCATTTGAAAGGTATTGTTATCCTGAGCTCATAGTAATATAATATCTCACCTGTGATCATTTTTTGTGTAATATTGAGGGTTTAGATATTGCCAATTAGACCAGTTTTTGATTGAAATCAGCGACAAGGCCGAAAATTTCTTACACAAAAAATTATGGCCTTCAGAAAAGTCAACTTTTCGATTTTTTGTACGTTTTTTGAAACTTTTTGATTTTCTCAGAAACGACTCTCCCAAATCTGAGGTTTTCGTTTCATTAAAAAAATGGTTTGTGGGAAGCTTCCCTGTTTCAGCGGCTAAGCCCAAATTTCATAACGACAAAAATTTTGACCACCCTCGGAAAACTTGTATTTGTGACTTTTGACCATTTTTTCAGACAATTCGACTTTTCTCGAAAACTACACTCCCACATCTGAAGTTTTGGTTTTCATAGGTAGAACAAGTTGGGGTAAGCTCTTTTGCATGAACGGATACGCGCAAGGCTATATACACAAAAATACGGCCCTCAAAATGTCAAACTTTTGATTTTTTGACAGTTTTTTGTAAACTTTTTGATTTGTCTCCAAAACTACCATCCCACCATCCTAAATCTGAAATTTTGCTTTCAAACAAAATAAAGGGTTGAGTGAACTTCCCCTGCGCTCAGGTTCAAATTTTCTAATAAATAATTGGTTAGGGCCTTAAATTGGTTTTGATTTCTTTTTCTTTGTTTAAATATTTTTTGACTATTCTCGAAAACAACTATCTGATATCAAGGGTTTAATCGAGGAAACAGGTTGTGGGAAGCCTCAGTGTATAAGATGTTGTTTCTTAAAACTTAAAAAAAAATTCAAAAAACTGTCAAAAAGTCACAAATACGATTTTTTTGAGTGTCATAACTTCTCTCTTAGCCGCACAAAACAGCGGAGCTTCCCACAACCAACCTGTTTTATCCATCGAAACCAAAACCTCAGTTTTAGTCGTGTAGTTATCGACAAATTGTATAAATCCAAAAATATGGGTCACTTTTTCGAAGGCTGTAGAAAATGCAGTACCGTAAAAAAATTAGGGGAGTATGCAGACACACAAGGGAGTGGGCGGACTTCTCACTTTTTTGAAGATCGGTCCATAGGTAGTTTTTGAGGAAAACTAAATTTTTGAAAAAAAACAAAAACTAAATTTTTGAAAAAAGAATTAAGAATTTTTCGAAAGCGTCTCAAAACAAAAGTAAAACTATAGAAACATAAAAAAATCGATCCCATACATTTTCATAATACTGTTGTCATCAAACTGGTTTTTTCGAATTTCAAAGAACATAGATGCCTTTAAAGTTTTGATTGACTCTTTTTTTAACAGAACTTAACCCAATTTCAGAAAAATAAATCAATAAGTAAAATTTTTATTTCGCTGGAATATCTGAAAATTAAATTCCAATTTAAAAATTAGTAGCCAACCTCGTTTTTCGTGCCTTGACAGTTTCACTGTTCAATAGTGATCTTTGCCTTCTTTTTAACAGAGGAAATTAATTGATCTTAAAAAGATATCAAAACTCAAAAAGCGAAAAACTAAATTTCAGCCTGAAAAATTTTTAAAGACCTTACTGAACAAAAACAATCATCGCAACCTATGTAAGAGTCTGAACTACGAACTACAAGAATGATAAAGATTCTTGAAGCAATTTCACAAAATAAAATACTTGACTTCAAACTTCTTTGAATTTCAGGACTATTTTTAATTGACAATTCTTAATAAAATCAATCATATTTGCGAAAGCATTGATCAAAAACTGGACATGGGCGCTTTTACAGGGGAGCTTCTTATAACTCGTTTTATCCATTGAAACCAAAATCTTAGATTCGGGAAAGTGGTTTTTGAGAAAAGTCAAGAAGTTTCAAAAAACGGTCGAAAAATCAATACATTGATTTCTGAAGGCCAAAAATAACTTTTCTCAATAGAAAATTGGAACGTGGGCGCTTACACAAGGGATTTTAGCTCAACTTTGTTTGTTATATTGAAACCAAAATCTCAGATTTGTGAAGAAAGTTTCGAGACAATTCAAAAAGTTTAAAAAAAACAGTCAAAAAATCAAAAGTTTGACTTTTCTGAGGGCCATAATTTTGTCAACAAAACCTTGCTCATATCCTCTCAAACATGGGAGCTTGATTCAACTCGGTCTAGTTATTGAAACTAAAGTCTCAGATCTGCGAGGGTAGTTATTGTGAAAAGTCAAAAAATTTACAAATGGTTAAAAAGTCATTTCCTGAAGGTTATTTTTTTGTGTCGGAAAAATGGACGCAACCCCTTATGCAGGGGAGTTTTTCACGACCCATGCTTTATAATGAAATCAGAATCTGAAATTTTGGAGGGTGGTTTTTGAGAAATTTCAAAAATTTCCAAAAAAATTGTCAACATTTAGAAAGTTTGACTTTTCTGAGGGCCGTAACTTTCATGTTTTATCCATTGAAACCACAAACTCATACTTGGGGTGCTGCTGCTCAGATATTAAAAGAAAAGTTTAAAAAAATAGAAAGTGGGTTATATTTAAAAGAGACTTTCCGGCATATAGAAGATTGGGCGGACTTTCCACTAGCGATACTTTTTCGAAAATTGGTCGAGCAGTTTTTGAGGAAACGTAAAAACTGTTGAAAGCGTCTCGAAAACAATCATAAAATCCCCTTTTTCATAAACCTGTTTTTATGTTTTTATCAAACACGAATTTAAACTGAAAAGCGGGAGGATTTCTGATATAGATTGTTCAATCAAGAATTTTTGAGATCTCGGAAAAATATCAATAAACAAAATTGATGTCAAAACAAAACTGAATAAAATCAAAAATGTGAGCTAATGACAAAATTGATACCTTAAAAGAAATATCGGCACAGTTTTTAATTCGATTGACACTTTTGCAAAACGTCTAGAATTAGGTATTTTTAAGAAATTTTAGTCTCTCTTTTGGGTATTCGGGTGTTATTACATTTTTTAATAGTTTTCTTCATCTCAAATTGATTCGCTGCCTGTCTTGTCCTGATCTAAGTTTGTTTCCTATTTTTTTTCAGACTTTTTGGTCCTGAAACATCAAAAAGTTTATGAAGAGACTCATAACGCCAAAAGATTGCTTTTCTTCACAATGCCAAGTTCCTTTTATATAGAACTTGATGGACTGTCCAAGCTCTAAAGGTCCGTTTTATTCATGAGCAACCGAGTACCCATGAGTTTTATTCGATTACAGTGGGCTTTTTTTTAACAGAACTTAACCGAAGTTGAGAAAAATAAATCAATAAGTAAAATTTTTATTTCGCTGGAATATCTGAAAATTAAATTCCAATTTAAAAATTAGTAGCCAACCTCGTTTTTCGTGCCTTGACAGTTTCACTGTTCAATAGTGATCTTTGCCTTCTTTTTAACAGAGGAAATTAATTGATCTTAAAAAGATATCAAAACTCAAAAAGCGAAAAACTAAATTTCAGCCTGAAAAATTTTTAAAGACCTTACTGAACAAAAACAATCATCGCAACCTATGTAAGAGTCTGAACTACGAACTACAAGAATGATAAAGATTCTTGAAGCAATTTCACAAAATAAAATACTTGACTTCAAACTTCTTTGAATTTCAGGACTATTTTTAATTGACAATTCTTAATAAAATCAATCATATTTGCGAAAGCATTGATCAAAAACTGTTACCTCGATTACGCCCTTGATATTGAATGAGTTGTTTTTGAGGAGAGCCAAAAAGTTTCAAAAATAGGACAAAAAATCAAAACATTGATTTTTCTGAGAGCCATAAATTTTTTGTTAGAAAATTTGGACATGGGCGCTTTTACAGGGGAGCTTCTTATAACTCGTTTTATCCATTGAAACCAAAATCTTAGATTCGGGAAAGTGGTTTTTGAGAAAAGTCAAGAAGTTTCAAAAAACGGTCGAAAAATCAATACATTGATTTCTGAAGGCCAAAAATAACTTTTCTCAATAGAAAATTGGAACGTGGGCGCTTACACAAGGGATTTTAGCTCAACTTTGTTTGTTATATTGAAACCAAAATCTCAGATTTGTGAAGAAAGTTTCGAGACAATTCAAAAAGTTTAAAAAAAACAGTCAAAAAATCAAAAGTTTGACTTTTCTGAGGGCCATAATTTTGTCAACAAAACCTTGCGCATATCCTCTCAAACATGGGAGCTTGATTCAACTCGGTCTAGTTATTGAAACTAAAGTCTCAGATCTTGGAGGGTAGTTATTGTGAAAAGTCAAAAAGTTTACAAATGGTTAAAAAGTCATTTCCTGAAGGTTATTTTTTTTGTGTCGGAAAAATGGACGCAACCTCTTATGCAGGGGAGT